CTTGGCCTGAGAGTTGACTTCGAATGTCGTCGCTCAGCCTAATGGCTAACATCGAAGAATTGTTTTCTGATTGATGGTTAATATCGAAGTTGTTTGGTCGATATCATGCCTAACATCGAAGGAAGTTTCACGACCTGATATGTAACACTAAATTGTCATTTCTCTGCATGATGTTTAACATCGTAGATAATTTCACAACTGGATGGATAACAACGAAGGACCTCTCCCGGACGACGGCTAATATCGAAATAAGTTTTTCTGCCCGATGGCGAACATTCGAAGAGCGATTCCTGGCAATATCTAAAGAAGATATCTGGTCGTATGGTCTACATCGATGTTGGTTTCACGTAACGATGGATAATGCACAGGAATATCATCACACTTCGAGGTTGATAAATAATTCTAGATGTTGCTTGGATATTAAAAGGTTTCGCTCATTGTGATCCCCACGATCCGTAAGATAATTTATGACCACCAGAACCATGAAATATTGATACGATGATTGAAGTATATTTCATGTAGCAATTGCAAACATCATTCAATGTACCGGGGAGCCATAACACTTCTGTTTCTTCTGTTTCTGCCTTTAGATCGTCGTTAGGTATTAACACATTATTTTCATATTAATCCTCGCAAAGCGTAGAGTAATATAGGTCAATCAGTTCGAGATTATTTATTTTTACGTAGGATGTTGAGAATTATATTATATGCAAACAGCTTTCCACGTACCGGATCACCGTAATACTTCTCTGTCGATGAACAATATTAGATCATCCTTATATTTCAAAAAATTTTGATAAATGACCTTAGTTCGTCGTTCTGTATTGAAAAACTTTGTTCATGATGATTACCACGATGAAGAGGATAATGTTAGAGCATCGTAAGACATAATGTATTGTCAAGGTGAATGTTTAGAATTCTCAAAGTGGGTATTTAAACCACTATCCACATACCTGAAACCCTTTAGTTTCAGGCTCGATAAATAATATTAGATCTTCCTTATATATTAAAAAGTTGTGTTCATTGTAATTCGCTCGGTGCTTTGAATAGTAGAAAGCCGTATGACTGAGATAATAAATCGGCACCATGAATGTCGTGAATTTTAAAGGAACGTATTTGTACCTCACTCCAAGTACCGAAACTCCGTAATATTTTAGACTCGACAAATAATATTAGATCGTCCTTTTATATTTGAATATTTAGAACATAATGATTTCTGCTATGCGTATAATAATATTAGGTGATCGAAATTTTGTATTGATTAAGTATAAATTTTGTATTGATAAGAGTATGTCGAGTATTCTCAATACGCATATGTAAACCTCATTCCTCGTACTTGAAAACCGTAATATTTCAGAGACTATATATATTATTAGAACGTCGTTGTACAATAAAATATTCTGTTCATAGTGAACCAGCGATTCTTAGAATAACAAAGGAGTGGAAGGTATGACACATTGCCAGAATGAATGTCGAATATTTTCAATGTTCACATGTAAATGTGAGGAGTAATGATTGAGCACAAATGTTTTATGTTAGAACGTCATTAAATATTAAACAGTTGTGAACGTAATGATTTCCGCGATGTGTAGAATAATATAAGTTAATCAGGGTTGTGTATTGATACGGTAAATATCGAGAAATTTCAAGAGCCATATTGGAAACTCATTCCCTTTACCGAAAATTTCAGTGTCGATAAATGATGTTGAATCGTCGTTATGTCATTAAAAGTTTTCTTGTGGTTCACAGCATTGAGAAGAATAAGACCATCATTTTGAGGTAATATGTCGATACGGAGGATGTCGACAATTTTAGGTAGGCATATGTATACTTCATTTCACGTACCGGAACACCGTAATATTTCAGAGCCGATAAATAATAGTAGTTTGCCGTTATATAAAAAATTGCCGTTTTCATACACCGCAATGTGAATAATAATATAACCACGTTTGAACACCGCAATGTGAATAATAACATAACCACCAACAGATTGACGTGATATATTGACAAAATTAATGTACATAATTTTCAATTGTCATATGTACACCTCACTCCACGTACCGGAATTTCATAATGTCTCAGCCGAAATAAATAGCTTTAGATGATATTTTATGTTCTAAAAATGGGATTTCATTGTGAATCCCGCCATGCGCAAAAATTATAAAACGGTAAATAATATAAGATCATATAATCGATATGATATATTAAGAGAATGAACATGGAAAGTTTTGAGTGGCCTAATTCCACGTACCTCGTAACCTCATTCCACGTACCGGAACACACTAATATTTCAAGCTGGATAAATAATATTAGATGATATTTGTGTAAAAAAATCGGGTTCATTGTGAACTCGGCGTGTCGTTAAATAACATAAGACTATAAATTTGATATGATACACTGACAGAATGAATTAAGAAATCTTTGAAATGTTATACGTAAACTTCATTCCACGTATCGGGACGCCATAATATTTCAGGCTAGGTAAATAATATTGGATGAGATTTTTGTACAAAAAAGTCGTTCCATTTTGAACTCCGCTATGCGTAAAGTAATAGACCAGAAAACAGAAATGATATACTGAAAGAATAACTGTCGGAAACTTTGAATTGTCATATGTAAATCTCATACCATGTAACAGAACTTCGTAATATTTCAGGCTTGATAAATAATATTAGATGGTATTTACATAAAAAAAGATGTTCATTGTGAACATAGTTGCATAATATAGTATAAGAACTTGAACTCGTTATGATATTTTGACAGAATTTGGAAAATTTGGAATGGTTATATGTAAATTTCATTCCTCGTACTGTATATTTCAGGCATGATACATAAAATGTCTTTATTTCGAGAATTAATGTTCGGGCGGAATGTCCCCGAGGGATGGTACAATAAACGCTTACAGAGCTGCCACTACGGAAAGAATAATAATACATTTGTTATTAAGAAATTGTAGAACTGGATGTATTCTCACGCAGCTCTGCAATTTATGAGACGCGTATACACACTTTTTTGCCCGAAGGCCACACTACATGTGGAATACGAAAATTATAGTGCCGGCGGCATTATGCACGCTGCAATGTAATACATATCGACAAGCACTTACACTTACACGCGGCAAGTACACGCTGGTGGCGTATACCGCAGAGAAATAACAAAAAATCTGGTGCGAATGAGCCAGCCTCTGAAAAAAGTAAAAATAAAAGAAACGAAGAAGATAGAAAATTTCGGACTCTGGTACGAATTCCATGACTCGACTTAGTGAAAGCGACGTGCGTGCCTGATGATTGGCAAACACACGACGCTCGGTAATGATCCGAGCAGGCTACGATTGTGTCCTGGCTAGTTTGAACGTAGCCCTCGGTGGCGGGGTGTGTGAAATGCGCCTAAGGTCGAATCGGCCTCGGCCAGCTTCGCGCGAACGTAGGGTAATAGATGGATTCACTATGTAAAAAGCCCAGTGCATGCTTCAAGGGAGACGAACACATTCCAGCGAGGACAGTAGTCTCGCATCCTGCTCCGTGAGATTCCGGTAGCGGCCTACCCGCTGCCAAAGGCTTCACCACGGAGAGGGAAAGAGATGCCGTTGCCGACGGTACGCCAGCAATGGATAGCACTGGCGATGACGGGTGTGCGTTTTCGGTGATGCGGCATGTAAATGCTTCTACGGTGATGCGGTACGCCGGTCCCTGGTCTCCATGCTCGTGGCCGAAGATGACGAAATCGCTCCTCCTGCAGAACCATTCCAGGGGCGCTGGCCGATGCAAAGTATCTGTCTTTACGTCCATATACCTGTGGTATTGTAGTGCCGGTGGGCAAAGGCAGTGTTCAGACTCGCGTTACCCTCCTCGTCGAGTTTGGCGGCTTTCCGTACTGGTCCATTGAAGAGGGGGGGG